TTTATGCCCCGGTCCGGGAAGATCCCACATGCCGCGGAGCGGCTAGGCCCATGAGCCATGGCCACTGAGCCTGCGCGTCTGGAGCCTGTGCTCCGCAGTGGGAGAGGCCACACCAGTGAGAGGCCCGCATAACCGCAAAAAAAAAAAAAAAAAAAAAAGTTTGGAAACACTGATCTATAGCAAGGGGTTGGCAAATGTTTTCTGTAAAGGACCAGATAGTAAATATTTGAGACTTTTGGGACCATATGGTCTCTGTCACAATTACTCAGCTCTGCTCTTGTAGTACAAAAGCAGCCAGATACAAGAGGTAAATGAATGGGTGTGACTGTGTTTCAATAAAACTTTATTTGCAGAAACAGGCAGCAGGCTGGATTTGGGCTGTGGGCTGTGCTTTGCTGGCTCCTGATCTAGAGGAAGGAGGCAATGACACTAAAACCCTTTGCACTCTCTGCCGAGGCACAGATGATGCTCTGAGCCCCCTCCTCACTCTGCCTGGGGTCTGAGCTCAGGCTGGTGCCCGCTGCTGTGCCCCTGCAGCCTTCCTGTGCCCCAGCGACTCCACATACCAGGCATGTGTGGCAGCCTGTGAGCCCCCTGAGACGTGCCAGGATGGGTTGCTGGGCCCGCTGGACCCAGAGCAGTGCCAGGTGCTGGGCGAGGGCTGTGTCTGCTCTGAGGGCACTATCTTGCACCGGCGCCGCTCGGGGTTCTGCATCCCCGAGGAGAAGTGCGGTAGGTTCCTGCCCTCCCTGGGCAGGGCCCTCTCCTCAACCTAGGGTCTCCTTCACCCTCCTGCTACCCATGGCTGAGGCCCCCTGCATCCCTCCAGGTCTACTCTGGGGGTGGTCAGTTTCCCAGGGAGGGTCTGGCCTGGGACAGTCTGGGTCTCCCCACCTTCCTCAGTCCCCTGCACCCCGCCATGCCCACTGCAGCCTGCACGGACAGCACGGGGGTGCCGCGGGCCCTGGGGGAGACCTGGAACAGCTCCCTCAGTGGCTGCTCTCAGCACCAGTGCCAAGCTCCGGACACCATCGTCCCAGTGGGACCAGGCTGCCCAGACCCCCGCCCTGAAATCTGCCCGCGCTTCGGGGAGGTGGCTTTGCTCCTGCCCACCGAGGATCCCTGCTGCCTGGGGACTGTTTGCGGTGAGTCCCACCCTACACTTCCCTAGACCTCAACTGTAAGATGGTTAAAAGGCTCCAGCTCTGCCTCTTAACCTTGATGGATAGAATAAGACCTGGAGAAATGAAAATGTCTTATAGGGGTGTGTTGGGGGGAGTGGAGGACCTGCGGTGGGGTAGGGGAGCTGTGCCCTATGAGTCAGTGTGGGGCACGGCTTAAAGGCACGGGCTCTGGAGCCAGGCAGCCTGGTGGATGCTCCCCCCACCACCTTGCAGCCTTGTGACCTCAGGAGATCATTTAACATCCTCCGTGCCTCGGTCGATTCTGTAACATGAGGCTGATAATAGTACCCACCTTCTGGGTCGTTATGAGAATGACAGAAGTTGATACTGATCTAGTAGAACAGCAGTGGGCATATGGCCCAGCTCAATGAATGTTAACTATGATTGCTCTTCTGTCTCAGTCCTGGACCCTGTGTGACCCTCAGAGGCCCCCTCCAAGAACATGGGTCCTGGAGGCTAGGGGAAGTACTGGGGGCCAGGTGTCCAGGGGCTGGGCATTGCTGGAGGCTGAGGGAGTCCCAGCCTCCAGGTGACAGTCCTTGTGGCCCCTGGGCCAGTGTGTAACCAGACTCTGTGTGAGGGCCTCGCCCCCACCTGCAGCCCAGGCCACCGACTCCTCACCCACTTCCAGGAGGACTCCTGCTGCCCCAGCTACAGCTGTGGTGAGAGGTCCCAGCGTGGGGGATAGGGGAGGATACCTACCACCCAGGGGCAGGGAAGCCCTGCAGCCGGGCGAGGGGAGCAAGGACAGCTCTGGGGACTGGGTTCTGGCTGGAGATTAAAGCAGAGCTAGGGTGGGGGTCCAGGTGTGGCCATGCAGGGTCTGCTCCCAGTGCCAAAATTCTGTCTTTTCCTCAGAGTGTGACCCAGACCTGTGTGAGGCAGAGCTGGTCCCCAGCTGTCGCCAGGACCAGACCCTGATTGCTGGCCGCCTGGGGGATTCGTGCTGCATCTTCTACTTCTGTGGTGGGTCGATATGCCATCAGATGTTAATATGCATGCCTGGATCACAGCCACCTCCTTCCTCACCCCTGCTTCCCTGGGTGGCTGGGAGGAAAGGGTGGGGATCTTCTGGTGGAGTGGGCATGGGGAGAAGGGTGAGATCTCTGTCCAAAAGGAAGTGTAGGAAGAAGAGGAAACCACCACCGCTTCACCCCATACATTACTGAGCACAAGAAAATTGGTGCTTGTTCAGTGTAAGAGTTTAGGTGGATGTGAGAGAGAACTTCCAGGTTCTGCCTCCAGGACAGGTCACGCAGGACTGTGGAACATTGCTAGTGTTACCGAACCAAACTTGCGTCCTCTCATTTGCGTGCAGTACAGCCAATCTACTGACACTGGGATGGGATGAAGGAAAGTGCAGCGTTTATTGCAGGTGCCAAGCAAGGAGAACGGGTGGCTAATGCTCAAAAGACCCAAATTCCTTGCTTGGCTCCTGCAATAAACGCTGCCCTTTCCTTCATCCCATGCCAGTGTCAGGAGATTGGCGGTACTGCACACAGGTGAGCAGACCCAAGTTTGGTTCGGTAATGCTATGAGTCTGGCTCCTGTCGCACCTGGGGTTTAGGTGCCTCCCCCAGCAACCTGCTCTGTACCATGCTCCCCAGGAGAGGTACTTCCTTTGACAGCGGTGCCCTTCTCTCCCCTCAGTCTGTGGCGACTGTCCAGATCCCATCCCCGAGTGTCAGGAAGGGGAGGCGCTCACCGTGGACAGGAACACCACGGAGCTCTGCTGCCCTCTGTACCAGTGTGGTGAGTCCTGCTGGATGTGGGGGCCAGGGCCAGAAGGGGCTCCAGGGACCTTCACAGAGTCCTCACCCTAGGACCAATGGGAGTTCAACAGGGGGCAACAGGGAGCCCCCAGGTGGCGAGCTCTGGGGAAGCAATGGAAGGAGGCCCCGCCCAAGGAAGCTGGGCCAGGCCCTGGGAGCTGGATGGCAGGGGTACAGGCTGTCACATAGGTGGCTCTGAGGCTTCCTAAGGAAAGTCCCTGTTCCCTCCATGGAGGCTCCCAGGGGCCAGGGGGAGGCCTGGGTTGAGGGACAAATGCTTAGTCTACTCTCATTCTCCCGGCCTGGATCCACAGTCCTCATTCACTGACTGACCCAAGGCCCCTGCCTCGTGGTCCCTTTCACCACTGTTACCATAGTACCTGCACGAGGTTGTATTTTAAAGCCTCTGAAGCTCTTTTATTTTGCAATGATGAATACAAGTGAGCCCTTTCTGATATTTTTACAGGCCGTAACACCTGTATGTAGGATGTACCTTAACATAGTACTGTGTACTGTGTACAGTGTGCTGTACCTTAGTTGTGCCCAATAAGCATAGTGCAGCCAGCATCATGGACTTTAAGCAAACCTGATGGATGAAAATCCACAAAATGTTTAAATTTCAATATGACTTAATTTACAAAAATTCCTTTCCCTACCGACTGTAGGAAAGATGTGAGGTAGACTGCACTGACACAGAGCAGTGTAGGGCGGGGCCTCCTCCAGGATACCCCAAGGGCAACGCCGACTGGTTCAATGTCAAGAACCAACTTTGAAACAATGTAGGCTCCCACTGAGAGTTGCCCAAAAGGCTTGGCCGTACCCAACCAAGTAGCTCCACCTGGGGGCTCAGAGGCCGCTTGTCATAAAGGGTTTACAAAGGTCATCTGAGGAGAGGATCAGTGTCCTTCCTCTCCAGCCTCTCTCCTCATCTCTCCTCCTCAGCCTCCCTCTTCCTGTTTCTCAGAAAGTACTCCGGCAACGTGGATTGAGTACAGGCATATGGAGTCAGTCAGCGTTTTGAGCCCCAGCCATTTACTACCTGTGTGGCCTGGGGCAGTGTACAACCTCTCTGAGCCAAGGTTCCTCATTTGTGTAATGGTGATAATAGTATGTACCTCGAGGGGCTGTTGTGAAGGTTAGAGATAATAGATGTAAAATGTGTGCTGTGTACATAGTACCTTAATATAACAGTGCTTGGCATACAGTAGGTGCTCAATAAACAGAGGCCATTGATATTATTACCTTGTCCCAGTCTTCATTATACTTTTCTTACAAAAGCACTACCAAAGCCTTGTAGAAAGTACAGAATCCAAGTAAATACAAGAAAATGAAAACACTATTTTCCTACCTCCCAGCCATTTCATTGTCAGTATCCTCCAATACAGTACAGATCCTTCTAGATATTCTTCGCCTTTAGGTAAGTCTGTTTTACCAAAATGAGGTCATACTGTACATGCTCTTTTTTAGCCAGGTATTTTCAGTTAATGATGTTTACCTTTCATGTTGATACATTTTCAAGTCATAGCATACCAGTCCATGGTTTTTCTGGTCTGTTCAATCCAGGATTCCATCCAGATCCACACATTAACATTATGTCTCTTAAATGTCTTTTAATCTAGCACATGTTCCTTCTTCTGTATGATACTAAATTATAGAGTTTGGGCTATGGTCCTGCAGAAGGTCTCATGTTCTGGATTTGTCTCGTTTCTTCCTCTTGGAACCATTTACCTTGCTCTTCTGTCCACTGTGCTTCCTGTAAACTGGGAATTAGATCCAAGACTTGGTGGCTTCAAATTAAAAATCTTTGGCTACACTGTCCTCGAGCTTCATAGGACATCACACCAGGAGACGCGTGCTCTGTGGTTGAGCCACTCTAACCGAGGTTCACGTTGGCCCTGGATTAGGGTGGTAGCTGTCTGATCTGTCCATCTTACATTTACAAATTTCCTCTTTCAACCAGAAAGTAACCGGTTATTTGGACATTATACAAATGTCCTTCTCCCTCTACCTCTTATGTTTTTGAAACACTGATTAATACTCCTTACCTGTGCCAATAATTTTTTTTTGTAAATCAAATAAGTTTTACAATCTTTCACCTTCAGCGTTGACCCTGGCACCTCCCCTCTGCACCAAAAAGTTGTGTCCAGGGATTCCTTGCTCCTTGCCTTGGTCTCTCAATAAATGAGAATGGCCGAGGAATCCTAAACTAAGAGGGGACTGGCTGGAGAGCAGGAAGGAGGGAAGTGTGAGCCCTAGAGTGTAGCATCTGCTGAAGCAGAGCAGGCTCCAGGTGGGCTACAAGAGGATGACGTCTCCACAGCGTAGGAGAAGCTGTGTTCTCCTTAGAGAGAAACTGTCCCATCAGCGGAGCTTCACCTGGTCACCTGCTCCCCTCTGACCACTTCTCTCAGGGTGACACAGCATCCAAGGGAGGGAGGCCCAGCTGAGTGAATTTAAGGTTCTGACACTGTCAGGTCGCTAGTGCCTCCCAGGGCAGAACGAGGGCCTCCTGATGTAGTTCTACGGGGAGACTTCAGTAGCCCAGTCTTCTCCTCTGGAGCCCAGAGGGTGTCTGAGGACATTGGGGGGACCTCGGAGGAGCTAGGAGGTACCCCTCCTTAGCCAGTGTGTTTCTGAGGATTCCAGCTCCAAGGTGCCTGTGGCTGACGTGTCCCCTGCCTCCCTGCCCATGCAGTGTGTGAGAGCTTCCGCTGTCCCCACATACAGTGTGTCACGGGCACTGTCCTGGTGGAGGTGTGGAGCCCAGACCGCTGCTGCCCCTACAAGTCCTGTGGTAAGTCCCCGCACAGGGACACCCCTCCCCAAAGGTGGAGATCCAGGCCCCTGGGGGGAGGGGGAGCCGGGCCACCACTGTCCACTCGGCTCAGATTCGACCCCTCCAGAGTCACCAGAGGGAAGCCGCTACAATGGCCCTCCTGCTGCACCCGCTCCCTGAGTGCTGGACATTCTTTGCCTCCCCTGGATAAAAGAAGGAAAAAAACAACTTCCTGTTCCAAAAAGGAGCTTCTCCACCTTAAAAAGTCTTTATTGCAACCATCTGATAGTAAATATGATTTTGTTCAAATTCGCCTCAAATCCTCTTGAGAAGCAGGCAGGGAGTGGCAGTGATCAGTAATGAACACCTGCGAGCTTTGTATAAAAATGTTTTTCAGGGACCTCCCTGGCAGTCCAATGGTTAGCAGGACTTCGCCTTCCAATGCAGGTGGTGCAGGTTCAGTGCCTGGTCGGGGAGCTAAGGTCCCACATGCCTCGGGGCCAAAAAACCAAAACATAAAACAGAAGCAATATTGTAACAAATTCAATAAAGACTTTAAAAATGGTCCACATCAAAAAAATCTTTTTAAAAAGATGTTTTTCGAAAAAAAGTTGAGAAACTCTGTTTCTCAGCTTGCTTTTTCAGGGCCTCACTAGAATGTAAACTTCACGAGGGCAGGAATTTTGGTCTGTTTTATCCATGGCTTTGTCCCCAGAACAGAGAAAAATCTCGGCATATAGGCACCTAAAACTATTTGCTGCATGAATAGGTGACTCCCAAGTGTGTTTCACAGCCACTGTGACCTTGACTTCTCCTCCTCCTGAAGCTAGAACTGCTGGAGCCCTTAAGTTAGTCAGCGGTGCCTCAGCAATCAGCTCCCTCGCAGCTTAGAACTGGACCTGCTCACGGGCGAAGGCTTGGAGTAGAGCTCAGCTGGCTGAGCATATATATATTTAGGAAATGCAGATGGTCAGAAATTCCACCCTTGCCTTGTTGCTTCCTGGAGAGGCCCCATTCTGCTCTAGAATGTGCTCCGGAGCACGGGGAAGGATGAAGCCCAGGTGACGGAAGGGAACCTGGTATTGATCCATCTACCTGTTTATCCTCCCTGCACATTCTATGTGGAGCTCGGCATTTGGACCCATCACGCCCCACCTGCCCAACCAGGGGAGCTGCAGCCCCTATGCGGGATGGAGGGCAGCTAGAGGAGGAGCTGCACCTGCAGTGAGGGGTCTGGGAGGCTCAGGGGGGCTCCCACCTGGACACCTCTGGTGAGGTGGGTCCTGTCCCCTCCTGTTTTTCAGAGTGTGACTGCGACACAATCCCAGTGCCCCGGTGCCATCTGGTATGAAGACCCTGCTCCTCCCCACTCCCCCTGGTCTGCCTCCCCCTCTTTCTTTCCTTCTCTTTCCCTTCTCTTGGAGACCCTATTCCTTTAATCTAGTGCAATGAGCCTTGAATTGCAAGTCAGCATTCTCATCCCAAGCTCTGCTGTCTGGGCACAGTGCCCTCGCTTGTAAAGTGGGCCTGATCATGCTTCAGAGTTGCGGTGAGGATTAAGTACTATGCTGACGCTGGTGGGGATGCTGGTGGGGATGCTGGTGGGGATGCTGGTGGGGATGCTGTGGGGATGGTGCGGGTGGTGGGGATGGTGATGATGTAATGGTGATGGTGGGGATGGTGGTGGTGGTGGTGAAGAAGATGCTGCTGCTGCTGGGGATGGCAGGGATGATGGTGATGGTGATACTCATGACGGTAGCTAATGTTTACCTAGAGCTAACTATATGCCAGGAACTTTCCTAGGCCTTTTATGTCTATTATCATATTAATTCTCACGACAGCCCAATGAGATTGCATCTATGGTTATCTCAATTATACAAACAAGAAAACTAAGGTTAAAGTCATGTAGCTAGTAAATCACAGAGCCAGGATTGCAACCAGGATATCTGACTCCAGAGAACATGCCCTTAACCACCAGGCTGCATGGCCACTGAGAGAAGTGAAAATACTTTAAGAAATGGAAAGTTATGCTTAAAGTTATGTTTTCTACATGATTTTTTGGATTATAAGTCTTCCCTCTTTCCCACCTAGCCCACATTTTCTCTCATTTTGTCCCCCATCCCATCCTCTTCTCCTTTTAACTGGTGAGAAGGAAGGGAAGCGTATGAGCCGGGCAGGGCCGGCAGCCATGCAGGGGGCCCTCGCTGATGTGGCCAGTGGGTGCTCAGAATGACAGGGGAGTCCTGAGGCCCGGGAGAAGACACGGGAGCGCTCCCCAGCGGGGAGGCTCGGGAGCCACATGGGCATACTTGAGGGAGGGTGACTGAGCTCACAGGGTGCCAAGGGCCCCCCTGGCTAACAGGCCTGCCAGCCCCTCCCTGCCGCCGACTCCCGCCCACTGCAAGGAGACGACTGACAAGAGAGGGCCCCAGGTGGCAGGCTGCTCCCGACGGTGGGGCTGGGTCTCCTCACCTGGGGTGCTAACGGCCTCTGCCCACCCAGTGGGAGATGTCCCAGCTGGACGAGGCGTTCATGCAGAGCGAGGAGAACGTGTGTGGCTGCACCAAATACGAGTGTGGTGAGTGGGGAGGGGAGCCGGGGAGGTCGGGCAAGCTGAGTGAGCCAGGGGTGGGCCAGCCGGCCTGGGGCCGGTGTGGGCGCTGGGCTCTCGGTGACTGTCGCCGCCCTGCTTGCCCATCCAGTGAAGGCCCCCGTGTGTCTGAGCCGCGAGCTGGGGGTGATGCAGCTGGGCCAGACGGTGGTGGAGGTCTCGGCAGAAGGCGTGTGCCACACATCCCGCTGCACCACCGTGCTTGACCCTCTTACCGGCTTCTACCAGATCAACACCGCCTCCGTGCTGTGTGACGTCCACTGTGAGGCGGTAGGGGGCAGCGGCGCAGGACGGGCTGTGGGGGGCCATGGGGAGCTGGCCTGCAGACCCTTGGTGCTCTGGGAATCAGAGGGGCCCTTCAAGCTCCACCAAGCTCTTCGGATGAGTCTAGAGAGTGGGCATTGGGGGGACCTCTGAGACCTCTGAGGAAAGTGCTGAGGCCAGGAGGGGAACAGCAAAAGTGAAGGCCTGGCAAGGGTGAGCATTTGACAGAGAAAACTCACATTTATTAAGCACCTACTTATGCCTGGCACGGTCCCTATCCTCTTGGTTTGTACTGCTACCGTTTGCTGAGTGCTTCTATTGATACGTGCCCAGTACTTAGGGCAGTGACTGGCTTCTATTAAGGGCTAAATAAGTATGAGTTGAATAAAAGGGATTGGAATTATTCCCATTTTTCAGATGAGAAAACTGAGGTTTAGGGAAGTCCAGCCATTTGTCAAAATTGCCACAGGAACTGGGACTCAAACTAAAGTCTATCTGGAATCAAAACTGCCATCCTTAATTACCAGCAAGGCCATCTCTTTGTCCACTGGGGCTGGGTTTAGGACCTGCTGTCTACCCTTATATCTACCCTGAGGCTCAGGGTAGATATAAGGATGACCTTCCTGCCTGAGATACAAGGAGGCTGGGAATTTCCTTTCTGAGCATCTACAGGGGGCCTTTCTCTGGGCTCTGGGCTCAGGGACAAGCAGACAGTGGGAGAGGCAGGAGGGTGGAGGTGGGTATGTGGCTGAGGCCCATCACGACTCTCCGTGTCCTGCAGAACCAGGAGTATGAGCACCCGAGGGACCTGGCGGCCTGCTGCGGCTCCTGCAGGAACGTGTCCTGCCTCTTCACTTTCCCCAATGGCACCACCTCCCTGTTCTTGGTATGCAGCCCCTTAACTGCGCATCCCAGGAGGGGACACCTAGGACCAGGGCCCAGGGCTGGGAACAGATGGAGTCCTGGGCAGTGCCAGGTCCTGGGCTGCACCTGTCTTCAGAGCTGTGCCCTATCAGTTCACGAGGGCCATCGGCCACAGGCCCCCATTGGCTACCTCTGTGCCCTCTAGCCCGGGGCATCCTGGATCGCAGACTGCACCCGCCACCACTGCAGCAGCACACCCCTGGGCGCCGTGCTCGTCCGCTCGCCCATCAGCTGCCCACCACTCAACGAGACCGAGTGTGCCAAGGTCAGTGCTGGCCGCCTCCCGCGCAGCATGGCCTAAAGCCAGGCGCAGCAGCTGTCTTAGTGGTGGTGGTGGGTAGGGGCAGGGGTGTCTTGTGGTGTGGGGGGCTGTGGAAGGAGGGCTCCCCTGGAGCCTGGACCTGCCCTGTCACCCCAACTCCACATCTTTCCGTGTATCTTTGCTCTGACCACATCGCACCACATCCTCACGCATCACACCACATCCTCACACATCACAGGGCCATGCCCAGATGCACGCAAACATACACTGTCGCATGTTCTAGGCACACTCACATACACACCAACACGGGCAGTCAGCCGCTCACAGGCACCACACACTCCACAGGGACGTTAACACCTCGGCAAGTGAGTACACATACCACGCACTGTCACACGCCAAGGCACGCTTGCACGCACACACCAGGCAGACGCATAGTTCAATCCTGCGATGGGCTAACAGGGGTCCAGCACTAGCATGGACAGCTGTCACTATGGGCACGCCTCAAAGAAAATGACTTCCTGGAGGGTTTGGGGTTATTGTTGAATTATTAGGGTTCTTGACGTTAATATTGGGCATTTAAAGATTTCTGGTCTCACTTAGAAAACAATTACACACATCCAAGCATTCTCTCCACACAGACACACACATGCAAAATCACACATGTACACACATGTATGTGCTCACAAAACCACACACATATACTTAGACCCACGCTCACACACGCATACACACAGACACACACACACACTTATTTACAAAGAACTGTCACATCCATCGTTTTATCAATTTCACAGTAGAGGAGGAGGGCTATCAGGAATCATTGCCCCATTTTAGAGATGGGAAAACTAAGTCCAGAGCAAAGGGGTAGCTTATCCAGGGCTGAGATAGAGACCAGGCCACTGACCCAAGTGGGTCAGTCCCTAACCCCTTCCCTCCCTGACCCTCTGTGCAGGAAACACTAAGGCGGACAACAGTACTGGGTGGGTGGGGTGGTGCATAAGGAGAGCTGCCACCGGAAAAACAGGAGACCCTGGCGCCCTGCACCATCTTTACCCAGCCTCCAGCCTCAGTGCCAGTGTCCCAACCAATTGCGTTAGGCCCTGTGGCTCTCAGTGGCCAGCTCAGGGGCCCCTTCCCCCTCTGGCCAGGGCCTGATGGGCAATGGGGCCTGGAACTCCTGCCCTGGAGCATCATGGGAGGAAAGGAGTCTAGACTCTAGCAGTCTTTTTGCCTCTTGCTGGGATTCTTGGCTCCTGGCCTAGTATGTGGTCTCCTACCCACCTCTCCTCCTCTCCCTCTAGGCTGGGGGCTCGGTGGTACCTTCCTTGGAAGGATGCTGCAGGACATGTGAGTGAGCATGGCGGAGGCCAGGGGTGAGGGGCTCTGGTGGGGGGGACAAGGTGTCATGTTGGGGATCAGAGGGCCAGGTTCCTGGCCTGGTGCCTCCAGTGGTGGCTCTTCAGGGGTGAGTGGTTGAAGGGATAACACCCCCGCCATGGGGCTCATGGCACAGACACAGATCTACAGGTGGGCAGGGGCCATGCTCACATCCCTATCCCGACAAAAGGCCTCTGCTCCTGTTGGAGACGGGACATTGGGATGTTGGGTCCAGGAGGTCAGTAACTGATCAGCTGCTCTGCCACCTCCTGCCGTGGCCTGCCATGACCTCCAGCCGCGATGCCCCCCACATGAATTCTCCCTGTGGTCAGGAGCCTTGTCATGGAGGTGGCTTCAGACCCATGGACTCCCAGACTGAGTCTGAGTGAGAGGCCGGTGCGTCTGTCCTCACCTCTGGCCCCTGGAACCTGCAGCCCCAACTGCATGTGCGTGCATGTTCCAATCAGCCTTAGGACCTTTGCCCACATGCCTCCCATCCCCCAGGGCCCTCAACCTTTCCTTGGAGAATTTTGGACCCTGTTATGTTCACTTCACATATTCCAAGGAAACTGGGCTCAGTGCCTCATTGGCTGATCTCTGACCCACAACTCAATGTTCCGTGAATGTCCCGTGTGCTCCCTGTGACCCGTGTCCCTCTCCCCAGGTTCCCCGGGGACCCTGTTTCCTGTGGTCCCCGTTAGTCCCGCCTCTCCTCCATGGGTTAGTGTCCACTGCCACCCAGGTACTCCTCTCGGAAGCCCGCGGGACTGGAGGCGTGTAGCCGCGTTGCTATTTCTGCCAATGTCCCTTCTGCTAAGTGGCCCTGAGCTCTGGGGGTGGGGGAAGAGAGTGTGGTGCCCCTGCTCCTTGCCTCTGGCAAAGGCTGTAGGGCCAGCAGTGCATGCTGGGTAGCACGCTGCACCCCTGGGCTTGCATGGGAATGCTTCAGCAGTGCCCGCTCTCTTGGTGCCCAATGCCCACCAATGCCCAATGCAACCACTGCTTTGCTACTGCTGGTTACTCAGCTGGTCTCAGTCCAGGACCCTGAGGCCATGGCCAGGACAGTTCTCAGTTCTCCTGTCTCCTGGGAGCAGAGAGGGAGGAAAAAGTGAACTTAGCTCTGGCCAGGAGACCTCCAGCTGGTGTGGTCAGAAACCTACTTGGTGAAACCCAGAGGCCAGAAGAGGGGATTCCACCCCATTTCCCACAGGCACCCCGGTGTCACAGAGGGAGTCTATGCATCTGGCAAATATTTATTTAGCACCAATACGTCAGGCCCTGTTCTAGGCACTGTAGACACAGCATAAATGAAACAGCCCCATAGAGCTTACGTTCTAATAGGAGAGACAGAAGAGCAAGTGAAATTACAATAAGATAGGTGCATCTGGTTTTATGGGCGCTGAAATTTATGCAGTTGGTGGTAGTGGGGCTTCATTAAGAAAAAGAACACAAACTTACAAATCCATACCGAGGTATGAAAGTGAAGATTTATTTAGAACGAGAGAATTCACAACAAATTGTGGAAGGAGGCTGTGCAAAGGAAGACCCTAAAGCTTACATGTCAAGAGCATCATTACAAGGGTGTCTCTCAGGAAGGTGACAGTGCCCTGGATAGAAATAAGGAAGGGAGGGGTCAGGGAGGGAGGCTGGGTGGAGGGAGGATGTTGTAGTTTCAAGAAGAAGATCAGGAAAGGCCTTGGTGAGGCAATACTTGAGCAGGTGAGGGTGTAAATGAGCCATATGATTGGTTGTCTTTGGGAGGCATGGTCCAGGCAGAAGAAACTGCGTGTTTATCAATTTCCATCTCTGTAACAGCCGTGTGAGGTGGGTGACTCCCGGCCCTGTCCTGTTTGATAGCTGTGGAAACCGAGTGATCCTGCTATGTGCAAGCATCGTGCTAGGGACTGGGGTTTCCATTCACTCAGGCAATTGCGGGATCTTAATGCTTGAACTGAAGCTCAGAGCGGGGAGAGGATACATCCAGGGTCGCCAGTGGATTAGAGACAGGCTTTGGGGCTGGGGTGGGCAGGCAGCTTGCCTTGTCCCCAAATCCTCGTCTTCCCTAGCCCAGAGTCCCCAGGCCGTCCCTGGCATCCTTCCCTATCTCACCCATCTCCCCTGCCTTGTCACCTCCACCTCCTTCCAGGGCACTGAGCTAAAAGGGAGGGGCTCTAATGCATGGGCACTAACTCTGGTAGAGGGACCCTCCAGCATGACACTAACTGCCCCAGTCTGGCCCACCCTGCTGCCCCGGGAGCACTACGCAGCCGCAGCTGCCTCACCCACCCTGTCCCCCCAGGTAAAGAGGATGGACGCTCTTGCAAGAAGGTGGCTATCCGCATGACCATCCGCAAGAATGAATGCAGGAGCAACACCCCCGTGCGTGGCCCCAGCAAGGCGGTGGGGGGCGGGGGCAGCCGAAGATGGGGATGGGGGGCTTTGGGGGATGGAAGCCACACAGGCTGCCTCACTGGCCTGCCCGTCTCCAGGTGAACCTAGTGTCCTGCGATGGGAGGTGTCCGTCCGCCAGCATCTACAACTACAACATCAACATCTTCGCCCGCTTCTGCAGGTGCTGCCGCGAGGTGGGCCTGCAGCGGCGTTCTGTGCAGCTCTTCTGTGCCGCCAACGCCACCTGGGTGCCCTACATAGTGCAGGAGCCCACTGACTGTGCCTGCCAGTGGTCCTGAGACCTGGGGGTGGGGCGGGCTGGACCACTTTCTGCTTCCAGCTGACCCAGTGTAGGGTGGACGGGGGGCACTAAAGGTGTGGAGAGCTGGTACATGCTGAGCATGGAATGGCGGGCAGAGACACAGAGAGTGACTGGAACGGGCCACACCGGCCCATCCTGGCTCCCTCTCTGGGCTCCCCCTCCTCCACATATGGGAGAGTGCCACAGCTTGGGGCTCAGGGAACTCAGCTCTGTCCCTGGCTTGAGGTCTGGGAAGGGCCCTCAGTCAGGGGCATCAGCCCCTGCACATCTGGGACTCTGGCTGCAGTGCTTTGGTAGAGGGGGTAAGAGTTTTCCTGAGAAGCCGGGATCAGGGCTGGACCCAAGACCCAGTGGAGGGGCCAGATGTGGTGGCTCATTCTCTTTCTCGGCCCTTTTGACCACGGAAGAACCACAGACTCAGTAAAAGGAAAGGGGGCTTAAATTGAAACATCCAGGTCTGTGTATTGCTGCCCAGGAGGACTTCCCAGAAGCAAAGAGGGTGGGTTCCCAGGCGACGTGCTTTCACCAATGTCTGTGAGGTCAGTTCTGGAGACTGGGGAGTAGACTCAGTGAGCTTTAAGCCCCCTGTAGCCCCAAGAGGGATGCCCTGGTATTCTGTTATTGACCTTGCAATTCAGGAAAGGATTTAGAAGAGCAGGGCCACGGCTGCTCCATACTCACCTACTCCCATCCCTCAAAACCAGCCTCCCTGGCCAGTGGGCTGGCTCTGCTGAGGTGTGGTGGATGAGTTGTGCTGGACCCTCCTCAGTGAGGGTCCGACTCATCCCCATGTGGGTGGACAGCCCACCCCTCTGAGGGCCCTAGGGTGTTTAATGATACCTTCAGCTTGCAAGGGCAGACCCTGGCTTTACAATGTGCCTCTTCTCCAAGAACATAGCAGAGTTGGTCTCTGGAGGGGCCCGAGTGTGAGTTTTGTGGCTCAGCCAGTTCTCAGCTTTCTACTTCATGGGATTGTCCAGCAGGAGAGCAATAGTCAGTGGAAAATGCAGGCCCTGTGCGTGTGCAGCCGCCTCTGAGCGTTTCTCAGAGCCTTGCCTCTGAACCAGTGTGTCCTTCCTAAAGCCAGCCTAGGGCCCCCTCCACACCCCACCCTGTAGCCCTCTGACCCTACATACCTCTTTGTGCTGCTGGGTCCAAAGGGCATGAACATGAGGTTGTTCAGATGCCAGCACTGCCCTGTATGTCTGGAGATGTGTGGCTGCCCTGGTACCCCTAGGATTGGGGTTGGGGCCCAGTGCCAGGACGGCCCCCAGCTGTTCTTGCAGCGTCTTTGTTCCTGTATCTGTGTTCTGTTTATATATCCAATAAACCACAGGAAGACATCAGACCTCTGAGCATCTCTGAAGGTGTCAGGTTTGCTTTGAATCTGAAGGAATTTCAGCTGTGAAGACGAAATCCTATTTTATGTCCGTGGAGGTCACCCTGACTTCTCTTGCCCCACCCGTGCCCAGCACTGTGTGCCACTCAGAGCAGGTCCTCCACGGGCATCTGCTGGTTTGAATTGAACTGATAGGAGGCTGGCTCCTAGAGGAGGGGTGGGGAGAAGGAAGAGGACTTTGGGAGCTGGAAAACTGGCACCCAGGTGAGGGGCCTGAGGAGTGGTCTGAGCTCTGTGGGGCCAGGGACAGATGCCTCTCACACAAGATGTGGACAGGTCAGGCCCTGAGAGTATGCTTCATGTTGGTCTCTCAACATTTCTGTATTTATTTCCCTGTTTTCTCATAGAGCTCGGTAAGCTTTGCAGCTACTGTTGACTATACTAAGGTTAAGGAGAATCCAGGGATGGGGTGGTTAGTGATGCTTCAACTTTAAAGTACTGTTGGCACATCTAAGGGGCAAATGGGAGAATGCTTTCCTGGATTGTCCCATTTGGGAAGGAATAGGAGAGGGGCGGCCTGAGGAAGCACCAGCCAATAAGAGGGGGATACTCCTAGGGCCTGGTTCAATGTTTGGATGCAAGGGCTCCACTCAGCCTGGAGGGGTAGAGCATTTCCTGTGAAGCTAACACTTGGAAAGCTTAGTTTTTATTTCACAAATATGTGTCTCTCCTCATGGTATATCTGTCTGCTAACATGAGCCCTGGGACTTTTCCTAATGAAAAGAAAGCTTTACAGCCTCTTAAGAAACACACTTCTAGATAAGCAGTGGATCAAAGAATAAATCAGAGTAGAAATTAAACAATATTATGATCCTCATGATTATGAAATTACAACACATTAAACTTGTGAGATGCAGCTAAAGAAGTACTTAGAGGGACATTTATAGCCTTAAATGCATACTTTATACTTCTTAATTTCCTATCGTTATAGCCAGAGGTGGGGTGGGGCAAAGCTTCTCCATCACTGATGATAATTAAAGGTTTGTAATCAGTCATTTTCTCAGCACAAAACATTCCCTAAGTCACATATCAACAGCTTTCAGAGAGAGTTTTGAACCCTGAGTTCAACAGAACATGACTTTAAACCAGCCTTTAAAACCAGCCTGATTTAAAATACTAATTCTATCATACAGCAAGATGTTTAGATTAAGACAAAGGTGGCTCTTTAGTCATTGCTGGAACCCCAGTGTTCCTGGCTGTTCAGCCCTCACCTCACTACCACTCCCATCTGTTTACATTCATGTATAAGCAGGCAGACTTTGAACAGGACCACTCCTTGTTAGCTGTTGTGTAAACAGGCAGAGGGCACCAGCTCAAGCCAGCCAGTCTCAGCCTAAATGTCTTCCTGCAGCCTTAGTTGGAAGGGTGGCCTCAGACTTTCAGAGGCCTGTTCTTCATAGCCTATCTATAACTGGTGACCCAGCTTTGCTGACTTGGCCCTCGTGGCTCCAGTTGGCAGCAGTTTCCAGGCTTCCTGCTCCACCCTCACTATATACTCACAGGTGGCCATAGATTCTGATGGTCACACCAACTGCTGGAATCACAGTGTTTGTAGGTTTCCAATCCCCACCCAGGAACCCCCTCCTGCCTGCTACTCCTGGAAGTTAACCTCACACACCAACCCTTTGGCTAAAACTCCCAGTCCTGTTCCCCTAGCTTCCTGCTGGGGAACCAACTCTTTTGGGCTAAGACACTAGTGAAAGAGTAACAAGAAGCAAATCACCAACTAGCATGCTACCCTGCGCTGCACTGAGGGAAAATAGGGAGGATGAGGATTTTAAACCTAAATCAATGTTGCCCAATTGCCCTCAAAAAGCGAGTACCCAGGGCTTCCCTGGTGGCGCAGTGGTTGAGAGTCCGCCTGCCGATGCAGGGGACACGGGTTCGTGCCCTGGTCTGGGAAGTGGAGTGGCTGGGCTGCGTGAGCCATGGCTGCTGAGGAGTGGCTGGGCCTGTGAGCCATGGCTGCTGAGCCTGCGCGTCTGGAGCCTGGGCTCTGCAATGGGAGAGGCCACAACAGTGAGAGGCCCGCGTACAGCAAAAAAAAAAAAAAAAAAAAAGCCAGTACCCATAGTGTTGATATGAGTGTTCATTGATACAGAGTTGATTTACATTAAAAATACATACACCCTTTGACTAAGCCATCCAATTTCTAGACAGCTGTGGTAGGCTGAAATACAGACCTCCAAAAATGTCCACAGATTAGTACCAGGAACCTCTGAATATGTCCCTTACATGGTAAAAGAGACTTTGCAGATGTGATTAAGTTCAGGATCTTGTGGTGGGGAGATGATCCTGGATTATCCAGGTGGGCCCAATATAATCACAGGAGTATTTGTAAGAGTGAGGCAGGAGGATCAGCATCAGAGAGAGGAAATGCGATGACAGAAGCTGAGGCTGAATTTTGTGGTAATTTGTTACAGCAACAGGAAACTAATAGAGCATCTAAAGAAATAATTCGTACAAAGAGACATGTGCCAGGATGTTTATTGCAGCATTGTCTTAAGTTAAAAAATATTGGTGTGACTTTCCTGGTGGCGCAGTGGTTAAGACTCCATGCTCCCAATGCAGGGGACCCGGCTTCGATCCCTGGTCAGGGAACTAGGTCCCACATGCATGCCACAACTAAGAGTTTGCATGCCACAACTATGGAGCCTGCCTGCCGCAACTAAGACCCGGCGCAACCAAATAAATAAATAAATATTAAAATATATATATATATATATTGGTAACAACTTTAAATGCCTATCGGTAGGGAATGATTAAATAACCTGGTACAGCCACATTGTAGAATATTATATAGCCCTTTTGTAAACTGATACAGTGGGCTCTCCAGGATATGTTAAATGAAGAAAGGAAATTGTGGATCAGTTCCCATAGAATGACCTGCTTCCTTTGTGCTTCTATATGGGGACACACACACACACACACACACACACACACACACACACACACACCCATTATATCCCTCTCATTCTGTTGAAGGGTTTTCAGGACTGAGGAGGCCCTTCCTGGCTGTTTGGGCCAGCTGGTTCAATGGCAGCATTGGTCTTAGAACAGCCTGTTTGGTTCTGAGGGTCCCAAAATCTGTCGCTGTGTACAGAAGGCTGAAGTAACCACCCCAGAATAGACTCGAGGCATATCTATAGCACCTTCCCCATCCTTTGTTTCCTGTCCACTCTATGCACATAACTTAAAGCTTGAGGGAACCCTGGAGGCCACACACCAGACAGGTAAGGAAACAGAAGCCTAGGACCCAGCCGCTCAGAAAGCTGGTAGCCAAGCTGGGCGGCTGCCCAGTCTGCAGCCCCCTGTGACGTATTTGCCAACACGAGGGGTTCTGAGCCCCAGAACTATCCCATTTTCCGTGCTTCAGGCTCAAGTTCCCGCCCTGATTTTCTGGGCTTAATCCTCTTCCTGTGGAAATCAATAAGGACATTGTGATGGAATGATTCACGTTCAAGGTCAGGCCGGAGCAAATTGGAGGCGACACGCTGATTTTACTGCCCTCACTTAAAGGAGAGCCAATCCTGCTCACAGACCCCTTAACCCTTTCTTCACCACTCCCGTTGCTGTGTCAGCACCTGCCCCGCGCCGGCTTCAGCCTTCTCCTCCAGGCCTAGGTCTCTGGGGTCTGTTTGTCCATGTGTGGCCCTGCCTTTTATATCTCCCCAAGGCTCTGACCCCACAGGCCTTGGAGTGTCACGCACTTGTCACGGTGGTTTGGGGAAGGCAGATGGCAACCACAGTACTGAATCAAACAGGAACAACTTCAAGGTGAAGGTTAAACGCTGCCTGTGTAAGTTCACTGGCCATGTCCTGCCCCAGGAAATCTCCTCAAAGCAGAGTGTCTCCTCCTTCCAATCTTCTTTTCAGAGTTCCAGTCCCCCTCTTCCCTGATTTCTTGGGTTGTCCAACATGGGGTGATGGAGGAGTGGGGGGGACGAAATTCCTTCTTTCTTTCTTTCTTTTTTTTTTTTTTTTATGGTGTTCCTGGGTAGCTGGAACCTTGCATCCAAAATGATTCAGACACCCTGGCTCCTCTGTCTGGAGGGTCCACCATCTTCAGCACGAGCCTTCCAAAAGTGCCATGCTCCTCTGCAGCAAGCCAGCCCCGGGGAAGTGCAGGAAGCATGCACTGCAGGTTTGGGGGAGCAGGACTGAAAGTGGCCGGCTCTCTTCCACATGCATCCCACTGGCCAGAACTCATGTACATGGCCACACCTAACTGCAAGGGAGACTGGGAAATGTAGTCCAGCTGTGTGCCTGGGAAGAAGAGGAGATGGTTCTGGTGGACAATGTCTTCTCGGTGAGGAAGCAGAGATAGTGTGGACAACGCTAAGGAGTTTGGCTGAGAAAACAAGAGAGATAGGGCATGAGGTCAAGGGAAGGTTTGTTTGTTTGCTGGTTTGAGGAAGGCAGTGACTTGACCATATGTCCTGGAAGGAGCCAGTGGAGAGAGAAGTAGGGTTTTGCTAGGAGAGAGATCAAGGGTCTCAGAGATCCCATGGCTGGCATGAGGAGGGCCAGTGATGGATAAAGGTGCCTCTGGCTGGATAGACCCTGCCCTAGATCTCTGTTTATCTCTGTCTCCCCAGTGTCTAACACAGGGCACTGAAAAGTGAGAATGAACATGCCTTTATTTTTTTAATTAAAAAATATTTTTTAGAACATGCCTTTAAACGTGAAAGTGAGGGGGCCCGGGCAGCAAGCAGTTAAAGGGTATGGGGTGGGCAGAGTGGGGGGCCAGGTGCCCCCCACATACCGTGGCAGTGCCAGTTAATCCCCTGCAGCAGGCAGGAAGCCTGCACAGCTGTCCTTCCCAAGCTGGAACTGTACCCCAACCCGGCCCTTTGCCCAGAGGTCCTGGCAACCCAGGGACTGGGGTGGGGTTCGGGGGGAAGATGGGTGGGCAACATGGAGGGTAACTGGTCCAGCCCCTGCACC